TTGGCTTTAAAAATTGGCACGAGTTAACTAAATGGGTACAACAAGGATCTTTTGAAGCAAGCATGTGTAATGTTTTACATTATGACGCTACGAATGGGTCGCGTAACATATTTTATGTCCCTTACGGCCTCTGTACGATTTCTTTACTGTGCTGAAGTACGTTCTTGCCCCAGAAACAGGCAGCAAGCAGTGTTAAGTTCCTTGATAACGCCAGTAGTGCCTTCGAGAAGCCAAGTACATCAGTGTGAGGTAGAGAGATCTTGAATGCCGGTAATCATCGCCACCCAAATTGGTCACCATTGTTCCACCGTCATGTACTAACTAAAAGTCGGGCGATACAGAGGATCCCACAGATAGTCGCAGGTCTGACGACTGATGGCATCTGATTTGATGCAAGTAGGTTAGTGCTGATAGGCAGTAAGGAGATTTTTGCTATCTTTTGCACAACTCAAATGTCCAAGGAATCGGTGATGTTCACGTTCAAAAGTAAGGAAACTGGATTTAGAAAAGTGCCTTGCTAATTTACAGAGTTCTTTCGCGTTCACGATGTTAGTCAAGCACCAAAGCAAACAAGGTCTTTAGAAGAGACGCATTAATGCCACAGATCGGTCAACAGAGGTTGACAGAGAATCTTTTCCTCTTACGACTTTGGGTAATCTCGATACCAGCAATAGCTTCAGTCTTTCTATAGTGAAGAGGGGTCAATTCAGAAAAATGAACATTCTAAAAGGAGGAAACTCCCTGAGTGCACCAAATTCAGCGATGTGCCTTTATGCTGGACGTAATGAGATAGAAATAGAATCAAAATTTTGCAAGAAAAATGCTAGTAACCCTGAATTAACAATAATTGTGGCACTGCTAATGTCTTCAACAAATACTTTGCTGCAAAGTTAGGTTGTAGTCTTTTATTTTCCTATACCTTTTTCAATTACTTTAATTACATAACGACAACTTTGTGTGGCAAGTCAGAAACAGAGACTTAACTCTATTGTGGAATACTCCAAAATGGTTTCACAACATTATTTCTTATATGCTAAATGCGCCAATCTCTACTCCTTACCCCATACATTATTTTAAGTTTACATGAAGTGAAAAAGAAAGAAGGAGGGGAAGATGATGGGACAGAAAGGGTGTGGAAGGTGACCGTCAAAAGTAGAAATGGAGAGTGCAAGAGTAGCTAAGTCGTGGCAGTCAATTAACTACTCC